TTTCACAAAGATCCTAAGTAGAACTTAACACTAAGTTGGACTTAAAAAGTATGGACAGCCATTGGAGCCTTAAAATGAAATATATTCAAAAGCAAAAATTGGAGTATTTTAGACTTTTCATCAATTCCACATCAAGAACATGAAATCTCCCATGATAATAGAAAATATGAATGATTTGAATCAACATTTCATGCCTTCTAAAAAAAAATTACAAAATATTTTCAAGGATGCTAATGGCTTCCCATAAATTTTAAGTCCAAATTAGAGATAAGTTCAACTTAGGATCTTTGTGAAACACCCCACAGTTCTGGTTATGCGATTGCATGGAGATGTATATGGGACTATGCGATATCTATCCAGTCCGGATAGATATGATAATTTACAATTAGTAGGTGGTATCCTGGCAAAATATATAGCATCCCCTCTTTCTTTTTTCTTCTTTTTTCTGTCTTTTCCCCCTTTTACCAATATTTTGGTCCACCATATTTTTATCATTATGTATCCTTTGAGGGTAGTCATACTATCAAGCTTTCCTTACTTTGTCAACCCTCCTGTTTGATGTTTTTGATTAGTTACAGCCAGCCTTACTTTATTCTACATATATTCTTTTGTCATGTTTAAATTTGCAATATTTTTTGGTTATATATTTGTAAAAATGCAAAAGAAAAAGAAAATCAAACAGAAATAAATAAATCAAATCAAATCAAATCAAATCAAATTAGTCAAAACATATTCTTTCACATGATTGGTAATACATGTAAGAGCTTCCATTTCATTTTTTGAGAGGGGGCGTTTCATAAAACTGATCTACAGTATACCTACATGTAAAGGTATAGACCAGTTTGGAAACGCCCCCCTCTCAAAAAATGAAATGGAACCTCTTATTACCAATCGTCTGAAAGAATATGTTTTGACTAGTACGTGATGATACAAATTTTGCCGGGAAACTGCCTTCTTATTGATATATTTGGTAAATTATTATATCTATCTGGACTGGATAGATATCGCACACATGTCGCGTAGTCCCATATACATCTTTCTGTGTACAGTGCTTGTAACTTTACCAAGACTGGGCCCAATTTCTTATCATTTTGATGATTCCAGAACCTTGCAATACACACCAATACTTATATGCTAGATGTTTAACCTTTTCTGATCGATTCCACAACATTTCTTTCACAATGCCATCGCATGACCAGAACTGGTCTTTACCTATAAAGATAAAGTTGAGTTCTGGACATGCGATTGCATTGTGAAAGAAATGTTGTGGAATCGATCAGATTAGGTTGATCATCTAGCAAATAAGTATTGGTGTGTACTGCAAGGTTCTGGAATCATCCAAATGAAAAGAAATTTGGCCCTGTCTTGGTAAAGTTACAAGTAATGTATACAGGTACACAAAGACTTATATGGGACTACACAAACATGTGGCATAAAAATCTGTCTCAATTTTTTAAAGTTTATATGCCATATTTAGAATATTGAGGCATTTGAAGAGCCATGCTTTTCAAGGAATTTTTTTCCTCTTCCCAGAACTCAACCTCCTCTTTAAGTCTACACATGTAATTAGTGGCCCAGCTATCATTAAGTCAATTTGAGAACAATGATAGCCTGAAGTACTGTACGGTACTGTCAACATTAGCTTGAAAGGATTCTTTCTATGTGATGTAACATGCTCAAGAGCAAGCTGCTGCAGAGGTCAGCAAACATTTGATAGGCTTTATTATGTCATGGTTATAGTTATGCTACGGTCACAAAGGTTCGTACGAACGATAATTTCGTATGAATCTCCGTTTTTCCATTGTCTTCCCAAATTTCCATTGTCTGAAAGATTTAAAAAAAACTAACTCTATCTTCATTATTGCAAACATGAAAGTTTGATTGGACAATTTTATCAAAATTGAATGCTTGGAAACATTCAAAGTAATGATTATATTATCAATTACAAAACGCTTAAATACAGCCCTGGCATACACCTAAAGAGCTCTCTGAACGCTGCCGAGATGTGTGACATCACAGGTTAAGCATGATTTGCACAAGTAGACAATGTCCCATGACATCTTACACATTTTCAGTGCCGGTTTTGTCATCTTCTCTTCAGTCAATTCTCTTTCTCTTACGTGTAGGGTTCATGATGAAGTTCTTTGAGATTTTATTATACTACATACATGTATGCCTTAGATATATACACACAGAAAAAAAAGGGATAACAAACTTACAAAGTAGGATAATAGGATTACATTGTGCAAATTGACTCTGATACTAACTGACAAGTACAATTAGCAGTGGCTGATCAATATCAAGAATATTATGTACCTGAGAGCAATTCATTCAAAGTTATGTACATGTAAGTTTTGAAATTATTGTGGAAATATACAGTACTACATGTACCGGTACATCTTTTTTCTTTCATATGGCATGCACACTGTCAAAAGCTTTAATTCTTTCCTGCACCTCTTTGATATTTCACTATTTGTAAGGAATTACAAAACAGAAATCCATGCAAATTGAAAATCTTTCAATAAATTGTTATTATTGTGTTTCCCCCTTTCATTTTTGTCTGGTATTACAGTACTTCATGCTATCATTCTTTTCAAATTGACTTCATGTAAAGGAAAACTGACCCGAGATATATCTGTAGCTATTCTGAGAGATTTATTATATTCTTGCCCATTATGTGAAGTCGTTTATGAAGTAAATGTATTCAAATTTAGGGATGCTTGCTTCCTTCCCAGGTGTTTGTGGTGTTGAAGCATTTCATTCACCTGTTATCATCCTTTGTACTGCAATCGCCAGAATGCAAATTGCATATTGCATAAATAAGTTGGTGCTCTTTTGGGGTGAAGGTTTTTTGCAGAAATGCAATATATTTACCAACTGCTATGTTTTAGAATTTAGATAAATGAGATATATGTTCCCTTCTAATATATATATATATATCTTTCACCAACTATAATGAACCAATCTCAGCTATGATTTTCTCTCGTTGAAAAGTAAAGGTTTTGTTATTGAGTTAAGAAGTACTTCAAATAAAGCTTGGTGCATGATACATGTACAACTCCGCCTGGTACCAGTACCAGTTGCATATTATTGTTCACTGGGGAGGGGGATCTATTCTTTCATCCCTCCTGAACAGGGCCCAAAAAAGAGCCCCCGTGAGCCTTCTCACGGAGTACTGACGGGGGCTCTTTTTTACACAAATTTTCATTGAATTGGTACCTATGATACTCCTCAATTATTTGCTATTTCCTAATTATCATTTTAATCAGCATTTTCCCTCTTACAAATTTACAAGCTACATATCTGTTACTGACTTTCATCCCGTGATCCTCGATTTCTTCCCGTTGTGCACATTATTTCCTCCTCATTATTCGTAGCGGTGAGGCGATTCTGTTTTTGGTGCTTTTTTGTACAGGCGCGGAGCCATGGGCCGATTCTAACGGCCCACCCCCTTAGCCTCCCAAACCGGTAAAAAATAGGATACTAACGTAAATTTAACCTTAAATCCCCCGCACCCCCCCCCCCTGACCTGCCAGTGACATAAATGCGGCATCAAAATGTTGGTGCTTCTCTGACCGTAATTAAATGCCTAAAACCCCTGAGCTTCCGGGGGCTCCACCCCCTGAACCCCCCACACCAATTTATGCTGGCTACCCTCTACCTGATCGTAAATACTTTAGCCCCCCACTTTGATAAACGTTCCGCGGGGCCTGTGTATATAATATATACGCATACAACACTGATCTTTATGATGTAGTACATATAAATATGGTTTAGTCGGTGGCCAGATGTCATGCAATATTGATTATTAATTATCAATTGATTGCTGGTCGCTACTGAATAATAAACTGGTTTTCAACTGGTAAAAAATGGTCTATAGAATTTAGTTACAAAAAAACTTCTATAGAAGTATGGTATGTAATCCCGTATGATTTTTTTTGCCAAAGTTTTTTTTTTTTTTTTGCTGTTTTGGCTTCAAAAAGGTCCCAATTGGCCAAAAATGATGGGGTTCAAATTTTCAGACCCCTCCTTCATTTCCTGGGGGTCCATATTGGGCGCCAAAATGGCTTATTTAGAGCACAATAGAGATATTTGGTGTATTCGGGAAAATTTGAACCTCATCAATCATCGCCCATCGCCCCCGTGTATTTTGAGCGCTGCTCCTGAACAATACATGTACAGTACAGTGTAGGTATTTAGTAAGAATCTACACCACTGTCCGGTACATGTATGTCACATTTTCAAGAAAATGGCTGCACCCATGTCATGCTATATATTTTCATTTATATCTCTTATACACTTTCGTAAAAATATTGTACATCAAAGGGCAGAAATACATCTCCATGTTTCAGAATACCTACACGTATTCTTTGGGATGAGGTTTCCTTTAATAATAACTGGGCCAGTAAGGATATGTGTAGACTTAAAACAAACAAATAAATGTTGTATCATGTTCGTAATTTTATTACAGGAAAGCAAAACTGATTTTATCATCAAATGCATACATCTTTCATAACAATAATAAAATAATAACGATAAATATAATGTCTTGTTTACCCAGGGTAGCCTCGTCAGTATCAATACTGTTCTCCCAGAGGGCAAATTGCAATCATATTATTACCCAAGCCTTTTGTGTATTTAATGTGTGAATGAGTTTCAGACCTAGTTGGCATTGACCTCACAGCCTCAAGTAGGCCAGACAAGAGTTTAAAAATACTGATCTGCTTTAGAATTTGGTGTTGACTGTGATATTTAAGTATTTAATTCTTTTTTTACCAGATCCCCTGTATTTTTTGTGTTATTAAATTTGGCTGCACAGGGCCTCTGCAGGAACTCCAGCCATTGTGCATGGTGAATACATAACCAACTTGCCCTGCACAGCTTGGGTGCGCATGAACATTACTCCGGAACATCCTTAAATACAGACTTTCTTGTGACCCTAACTTTTGAGTGAGTTTTGACCATTAACTGATAGAGTTCCGTTTGTCGTTTTCCTACAGCTAACCAACGAGGAATCATGAGTAACGGCAAAGAAATGGAGGAGGTCAAATATGATCTCTCAAAAAGCGCGGAGAAGACCGTGGATGGGAGTTGTCCTGAGAAAGAGGTGAAGGCGACGGTGAAAAGGGAGCACTGGAGCAATAAGATGGACTTCATTTTGTCGTGCCTGGGCTGGGCCGTAGGTCTCGGCAACGTGTGGAGATTTCCATATCTTTGCTACAGGAACGGAGGAGGTAAGAAAAGGCATCACATCGGAGGAGTGATAAAATATGTCTAAATGTTTTCAATTTTTTAATGTAAAAAAGAAACGACAAGGAATCCTAAATGAACTAGTTGTCTGGCTTTCATTGAAGTGAACATTACTACAGGTGTAAATTTTACCCAAGATAAAGTCGATTTGCAATGGAATTTTAAAATGCTATAAAATGGCTGTTTGAATCCTAACTCAGATGATTGAATAAGACACAGTCGAGCCATATTAATTATCAAATCTGTAGTACATGTACATGCATGCATCTGTCTCCCAAGTGTGTATTGGCAAATTTTAAAGTAAAAGCAACATTTTTGCTTTTTCCTATGTTAAAGCCACACTGTACTACTTGTAGCTACTTGCTCCCTCTATACAGAAAACAATGCCTAATCGATGACCATTGGTCCCAATGATCCTCTTTTTCTTATGTCAATTGAGAACTGAGTTGATGAGATAACCACCTGTCCAGTGACCTTGCAAGGTAGTCTAATCCCTCCTATAAACTAGTTCAGATGGTCTTTAAATGATCAAAATAAAGCAATGCATGTATTTGTAATCTTTTTGTTTGATTTGTTTTCTTCCCATGCCATACAGGTGCTTTTCTTGTGCCTTATTTCCTGATGTTGGCTCTGAGTGGACTCCCTTTGTTCTTGATGGAACTTGGTCTTGGTCAGTTTGCGAGTCGGGGTGTCATCCAGATATGGTGTATGGCACCAGCTTTTAAAGGTACGTGTAAGCTCGTACATTATCATTCCCTTACAGAATCATGAATAAGATGATATCAGACAAGCTTTGTTGCCTAAAAAATGAAAGAAGACCAACAAAAAAAAGGAACAGCAACAACAATAAAAATTTGTGTTACTTTAATTACAAGCTATAAGCCTAAGAAAAATTATTGGGTTGAAAGATTTCAGTATTATAAGTTTGATTTATGCTTTTGAACCAGAAAAATGTACATCCTTCATGGTGTTTTATGGAACTTACTAGCGATGTGTACCAGTAGTAAATATTAAGTTACCCCCATGTTGGTTTTGGTATTGAAACATTATAAATAATTGACAGATTACAAGTTTGCTCACAAGGTTTGCTCACTTTAAAGGTTGATTTATTATGTGTATAGATCTTTTGTCAATATTTTGATTTGATTTGATAAGCTGTGACCTTTTCTGTAGTTTCATAGTTATACTTGGGCCCTATCTATCACATGTACGACAGTATTTAGTTGGCCTGGAATTGGTATTTGTAATATTATGGAATATAAATTTTGTATGCATCAGATTTTGAAGAATATGGTAGCAATATTCTGATGACATGTTTGTAAAGAAATCTCAGCTATGATTCTTTCTTCCATCTAAGGCTGGAACTGGAAAGGGAGTTTAATCTCAAACTTTGGTTTGAACTTTCATGAAGCGTACATGCAGAGCTACCAAGTATCACGCATTAGGCGTGACATCACGCATTTCGAGGGGCTGAAAATGCTCTTACGCACGACGCGTGCGCTAGATTTTGAAAAAACGCTATACCTTATACTGTATGTGTGTTATACCCTCGCACGCCCGCTCTCGCGCCGAATCATGAAAATGTCACGCATTGCCGATCTGTGAACTTGGCGTCTCTGTACATGTAGCTCACATATGCATGTCCTTGCGTCCAATTAAGAGGCAGTAAATGCTATAAATTCATAATCTTAGTCAGAGGTGGAGGTCTAGACCATGATACAACACGATTTAAGTTTAAACCTCATTCATGTCGGCCTATGTTACTTGGAAGGGTAATTTGTGTGGAGGTTATTCTACCCATTTTAGTTTTCAGTGCTTTGTTGTAGAGTGCACCAATTTATTCAATGAATCAGATGTTTTACATTTTAATTTTATGTCTGACAAAAAAGGGCAACCTCAAGATTTCACTTGATAACAAAAAGGATAGAATTGATGCAAAGAGCATTAGCAAGAACTGGGCTCAAAATAAAACTGTTGAGCAAAAATTATAATTCTAATGTATTGATTTCTACATGTTTGCAGAAATTATACATTTTCTTTCCTAAGAAATGATGGGATGGTGCAAACTTGTTTAAATACTTTAACAAGTGAATATGAGCTGGAAATATGTGCAGTAATGTTCAATGTTTGCATAATATATTATAAAGATTTGTATGTTTTAACATTTGATGACTGTATGAACTTCTGTAGTAGTAGATTAATCTTTTCAATCCCAAACAGTTGTATTCTAGTGGTCATATTACGCCCACTGACTCAAGCAAAGCTGTGAGTAATGCACATACTTGCCATCATGTTTTCTCTCGCGTGTGCCTGTTCTTTAAAGCATAAGAAACAACGAATTGGGCACCTTCCTTCAAGATTTTTTTTTTAAGAGATTTTTTTCTTTAATCTGAATTGATAGTATTTCAACCATAGTTGACAAGGTGATGGTTCATATGCTATTTTCTTCCTGCTGCAGGTTACTTATCGATTAGGGAATATTTTCCAACTCCAGATAATTTTTCTTTGATTTGTCAGTTCCATAACTGTTCATCCTTTTACTGCCGATAAGGGAGGGGGGGGGGAGGGAAGGAGGGGAAGTAATCATTTTTTTGTTGCTACATTTGTTATTAATGGGATGCTTTCGATTGAAATAAAGAACAAAAACTCAAAGAAAAAGATGAAGCAAAAAACAAATTATGCAAGAGATGGGATGTCACAATTATAGTAACATTTTGCAGTTCAAATAGATTAACCTATAACCATTAAACAACTTTTGATGATCTCAAAATTGTAACTATCAAAATTCTCTTCTGCCTTAAAATAATATTTGTATCAAAAAGAGAGATGGAAGGTGGGGTGGGAGAGAGAGAGAGGGAGAGTGAGGGAGGGGATAAGAGAAATAAATAACTCATTTTACCCTGGCCTGCTAAGTTTTAGCTATTAAGTAGCCCAAAGCACCTATGTCTTTCCATATTTTCTTTATGCACATTCTTTATTAATCCTAACCTCTCACTTTTGCTCTGATTTATCATTGAAACTGTACCCTGTATTTTTTGTTCAGGTATTGGATTAACCATGTGCATGATTAACAGTTTAGTAAATATCTACTATCCTGTCATCATTGCCTACATCTTCTACTACTTCTTCGTCTCGTTTGCGAGAGAGCTACCGTGGAAGTATTGCAATCCTCTCTGGGCATCGGAAAACTGCACTGACCCAGACTCTCGGTCCAACAGCAACGGAACGTTCAACGGAACCTTCAATGGAACTGGCGAGTACGATGTAAGCACCTGGTCAATGACCACGATGCTTCCAAATTCCACCAACGCAACCAACGCCATCGAGTACGCCAAAAGGCCAGCTCAGGAATTCTGGGAGTATGTTGTTATCCTTTCTCTTTTATATTTATCAAATCGAGCTTAGTGTTTGCGAGAGGGATGGCCGTGCTATGAAGCCTCCTTTGTCCTTCATTGGGCACTAGAGGACGCACCCTACCCTCTCGCAAACACGTCGCTCAGCTGCAGAAGGAAAGGCATTCAAAGAGTTTGAACAATGCTGAGCTACTTTTGGTATCTAGATAGATAAGTTTATTTCTAAGATTATATTTAGAGGAGCAGATTCTCCTAATAGGAGTGACCAAACAGCATTGTAATGGCACTTTTTCACTAACCGATAATTATTTGTTTGGTAGAGATGAAAGATTATTAAATTGGCATATACATGGTCAGTTACATACGTCACTACTTACATTACATATTGTGAAACTTTAAAAGGGGTTACATTTTTTGGTGTCTGAATTGGACTTGCTACAATCTTACTTTCCTTTATCTGGTCCAAAGTCATGTTCAATACTTTCGTATTTGTAGTGTAGAAGGGAAGGCAGTGAATACCTTGAATGGGTGTCACATTGCATGGTTTTATCGTCATTCATTTGCATATATTTTGTTAATATGAGTTCTCAAGTGTGACTAGTTTGATGTGGGGGAATGTATTATTCATTGTATGGTCCTACATTGTATTAAAACCTCATGTTTGGATGAATATTTGAAGGACAAAAATTATGTTATATTTAGATTTCACAGTTGGTAACACAATTACAAAGTGTTGTGTCCCACCCAAGCCTTTTAAAAGAATGTATCAAAATGTGCAATTGTTGCAATGGGAAAAATGCAAAAAGCACTTGTTTTTCTGGGGGACCATACATTTGAGTTGAATGCATGAAAAACATCTGACGAGTTTCCCAGAAATTCATCAGTTGTTCTTTGCTCTGAGGTGTTTCTGTGTATTGTGATCAATGGTGAAGGTGCTGTTCGATATTTTTAGGCTAAGATGCGAACAATTTGTTTTATACCAATTTGGAAATGATCATTACAAACTAACTGAGTTTATTATTCCACGAAAAATCTAGCTAAACATGTTTAGAATAATTTTTTAGCATATTTTTTTCATTTGTATGTGTACAATACAAACATGGAAAAACGAAAGAAGAAAAAAAGTGGCAAGTTTATCCAGCAACACCCTGAAATATGACGAGTTTGTTTGAAATCTAGTTTGATTTTTTTTAATTTTTTTTACTATTAATATATTTTCTTGAAAGTGTTGAACAGTACCTGTGTGTGAATGATTTTGTGCAACTATCATCACTAGAGCTACTTCATATTACATATGCAGATGATGCAACGATGAAAACCTTGCAGAAATCAGAATTTTGAACAAATCAGCAAAAATATGTTCTTCCTAAATTTTCCTTGTTATTCTTTCATCATTTTACAAATTTACAAAAAGACAAGGGTAACAGTTGCAAACATTTTCAAACAGTCACATATTGGACAATGCCAGTGTTTAATGTTTTGCCTGTATACAATGTTTGGATTATGTAATCGCCTCTTAGAATACTCTTGTATTCTGATTGGCGATGCAATTTATACTTAATTCACATTATGATTCTTTGGAAATGTTTGCAAACGTGAAATATGTCTTTTATTTCTCCCCCCAAAATGTTGCCGATAGTCTAGTGTGTTTCTCATCTGATTACTTTATACCTGCGATAAAAATCGATCACAGGGTGAACTTGCTTTGATCAACCATTATGATATCAAAGAGTGGCAAATAGAGGATTTTTAGGAAGAACAGGATCCTAATAAGTAACTAGATTGTTCGCATTGAAAGTGATGTATGTAATATCTGATCAATGTACGCTTAGTTTTAACAAAAAATGGGGAGTATCGACTCACTTTTGTTTGAACTGCTCAGGATATCCTTTCCTTCTCAGTGTTTGTTCGAAATCAAATTGTGATTCATTCTCATATTGTCTGATGAGAACCAGAGGGAGAAGTAACTCATGTTTGGTGTTGTGGAGATAAAACTTTGATATAAATCTTACTCCTTTTCAGTTTAGGGGCAAGTTTATTCAAGTTGACCCCTACAACTTACATGTAGATCCTGAAGAGGAGGCAAACTTTCCACTCTTTGTGGTTCGGCTTATCTTGTTGTGTTTATAAACAAAAATCGAAAGAAAACATGACACGATTAGAAGAATGACATCATCACTGATGCATTGTGGGAGCAAAGCTCTGGACCAGGATGCAAGAGGCAGAAGGCTTTGTACTTTAGGTTTTTATCCTAATCGGAAAGATATTCAGACTTGAAATCTAATCTAATACCTACTTCCTGGTCCTCCCTCTACGTACAAATCGGCATGAGTTGATTGATGCCTGTATGGCTCTCAGCAGACATTACTGATCATTGATTCTATCACTCATTATTTTCAATGTATGTATATATCGAAAACTGGGTAAAAATTTGGGTAATAAAATACACAATCTAATCTGGGATAAAGTACTATTTTGACTTACACTATATATTTATATTTGTTGTATGCCTGAGACATTTAATTTTCATAGATAAGGTGGAGTTCTCAGGCAAGAGACAGAAAAGTAAGATAATGAATATATGGCTCACAATTTTGCTATAATATGCAGATAATCAACTAGAACATGCTTGAAGGAATAAAGAAACAATGTTGGAGGTTAATTACAGATCACTGTGCAATTGAAAAATCAAGAAAGGATGATTTTCAGGACAGAATGTACAGTTGCAATTGAAAAATCAAGAAAGGATGATTTTCAGGACAGAATGTACAGTTGCAAGGTTTTGTTTCAATTTCATTTTACAATTGATTTGAAATGAAAACCACATACAGCATTGATAATTTGAATGTAACATTTTCTCATGAAAAATTACATGTCATGTAGCTATATGTAGATATTTGGAATATCAATTATTATCCTGAGAACTCTTCCTTGTTTTACATGTATGGCTTAAACATCAACATGCTTTGGTTCTTAATACATACATATATATGCCATCCATAGCCACATATGTTACAAGCACATTAAGACATCAATCATGCGCAATCAATCTCTCTCACATTGAAGCATGCATGTGGAGTACACTCTAAATCGGGAAGTATCCTGTGGTGGGCGCCAGGAGGGCATAACTCCTGTGCTTTTACACAGAGCTAATGCCTTCTGGCTCCCAGAAAAGGGTACAACCACTTGGAATAGAAAGAGGGATGGTAGAAAATCCAAGTTGTGTCATCACAGAGGTTTTCAATTCGGATCAATTTCATCTGTTGAATCTTACTTCGAAAAGGCTATTTAGGTATTTGGAATTTATTGTCTAAAGATCTGACAGGGTTTACAAAACAAAGGGGAAATATGTAATGATTTAGATGAAGACCATTTGATGAGCTCTTTTCCCCCTCTTTGATTTCATTTTAATCTAATCAAGGAGAATCAAATTTAGACTATTAAAAGATAAGTTTGCTATTAATCACTCAAAACTAAGAAATATGATACCTTTTCATTTGGGTCTAGTTATAACATCCTACTTTTGCTACAAAAACAGGAAAATTCATGTTATTTAAACCCAAAGAAGAATTAATAAGGAACAGATTTTGCAATTATGTTTTCTGATTATATCCAATACAAGATGAGATATCGCTCATATTGATTTAATCTCCATCATGCAGGCTTTACAATAGCTTTCAACTCTTACTGACTTGCTTCTCACAACATAACATGTCATTTGATCAACCCAGTGAGACTTCCAGTAAGGCCTTATTCACACCTAATGCGATAAACCACCTCAAAATTAGCTACCACAGCAAAAGAGAACAATTTTCCATGTAAAGTATTGGCAAGTGGGCTGAAAAAGGTACACACGACAGAAGTACTTTAGTATTTTCACTGATCTGTACGTACAAATATACAGAAATACAGAGTGAGTCAAAAAAAAGTTTACACCTAGAACATTGATAATCATTTTAAAAATCATCGATGAACATTAAATTGTTATATGTCTTATGAAAGAGTGTTTTATCCCAAATCATTTGGTACCATTTTTGTGTGGTATGTGTTCACGCTTGGATGAACAGGAGACATTGTTTGCGAGAGTGCAAAAATCGACTTGCGCCAAAGTTGCCTATGTGATGTTTGAATAAAACAATTGGGATTTGGGTATTAATTCGGTCTTTGCAGATCCAAATAACATCCCAAACAAAATTAATCATGCCACACATATCAAATATCTAATATAAAATATCAACGAACATTTTGTGCGCGTGTGTGTGGATGTGTTCGACTTTGCCCTTTGCAAAAAAACATATGCAATGCCTTTCATTTGATACATTCAATTCATTCTCTCATTCCGCGCGCTAATCCCAACATAATACATACTGTAGGCATCACTTTGGGCAAGTCGATTTTTGCACTCTCGCAAACAATGCCACCTGTTCATCCAAGCGTGAACACATACCACACATAAATGGTACCAAACGATTTGGGATAAAACACTCTTTCATAAGATGTATAGTAATTTACTGTTCAAAGATGATTTTTAAAATAATTTGCAATTTTCTAGGTGTAAACTTTTTTTTGACTCACACGGTATAAAGCTCACCATGCTAGTGTAATCTTATTTTGCCATTTCAATTACTCAATTATTTAAATTTTGAAGCAGTTTACTAAATATTTTGATTATATTGAGGCAGTTAACCACATCAGGTGTGAAAGAGGCCTGAGAAGTCATTTCAAAGTTATACCATGACATGTTCATCCTTTATACTCACAATGAGGTTGGGGGGGGGGGACCATTTTCTCATAAATACAAGTCATACAACCATGATAGTCACCGTAAAAGCATAATTTAATCTCTCCAAATCTGAAAGATTTTTTTTTACAAATTCAAGCAATCTACTGCTGTAAAACATTCTTGTCATGAAAAGCATACCATCTACGAACGCATTTCTATAGAACAATATCCAGGCAAAATTTCCATCTTGAAAACTATAGGCCTAATCAAAACCATGATGACTATTTTTGTCATCAATGTTACACAAAAACATTCGGTCAGTTACAAACATAAAAAATATGAACTATGTCAAGCAGAAGTATTTTGAAAGGGTATATTTCTGAAAGGGTTCAATTTTTCTATCTCCAACTAGTAAAGAAAAGGAAGGAAGGAAGAACAGAAGGAAAAAATGAGCAGAAGCCAAGATTGATATAGCAATGGAAAGATCAAACAGCACTGAGAGACTTTTGAAAATATTAAGAAATAGCCCTCAAGGTATCTCATTTTTAAAGGGAAAATCCAGAAAGAGCTCAAATCACACAAAAATATTGATAAAAAAAGGATTGAAATTATTAAAAAGAAAGAAGAAAGAACTATTAGATACGAATAGAAACCAATAGTGATTCAGCAACTGAAAGCTCAGAAGCAGAATTGAAAAGGTGTTGAAAAGATATGCCATGGACTAGTTGGTCCATTATCTAACAAATTTGTGAAAAGAGCTTTTGTAACCAAAAAAGAGGGAGAGAGAGAAAAAAAGGAAAATGAAAAGAGATACATATACCTCAAGGTGTTATAAAAATCAATAAAATGAGCTTTTATGACCAGAGAGAGAAAGGGGGAAGGGGAGAAGAAAAGAAGAAGGGAGAAAGGCTTTACCCTGTGTAAAGCTAATTTTGCCTCATTTACGGTTTTGTTTGGTTTCAGCTCTCAAGGCCACTGAACATGACTGAAAGAGTATCGTCATGTATAGAAATTCAAGTCAGAGAAAATTCTTGTTTAATGCTACAGTCACAAACGTTTGTATGAACAATAATTGTACGAATCTCCCTGTTTTTCCAATGTCTTCCCGAATTTCCATTGTCTAAAAATCTTTTGTACGGCGTTTGTAGCAGTTCGTAATGGCATTTGTGACTGAGGCTTATGATGGAATGAACTGAAATCTACACGTCTCATGATATTCAAAACACTTAAGTGACAATTTTCTTCCACAAATGTAACCACAATAGATTATATTTACATTCCTAAACATAATTCTAACTTTGAATAAAAGAAGTTATTGTGATATTAACTGTTATAGTGTAAAACCTTGCCCTAAATAAGAGGAATTAATAATAGATCATGTGGCAAGATACATGTAGAGAGCAATGCTTAATTCATTATTACACAAGTTTTGTCACATATTTAGAGCAAAATCCTTCATATAATAAAAACTATGAAGGGTCGATTTAATTTTAAAGTTATTTAATCAGCTGCATTCTATCAAATATTGACCCACATCAGGAAGTGATACACATGTTCTTTACTAAATCAATATCATCTGTAATAACATTGAAGTCTGTCATGTCAGTCAGGCATTGACATTTCGGTCAGAGAAATAGACCTGAATTCTATTTCAGAATTCGATCAAAATGTATAGTAGCGGTAATCTGATATATTTTACAAAAAGAAAATCACATTTTCTTGATCTCGGGTAAAACGTACTCAAAGAATTTTTTTGTTCGTTTTTTCCTTCCAAACCTCCATTCAGTTGTTGACACTATCACACATCTTGACAAAATCTACACATTCTCAAGGGGGCAGGGGTGGTGTAATTTACATACTACTAATCATGTCAATCCTTGTTTCTTTCTTCATAATCGCAGTAAACTCAAATCACCTTTCGTTGCAGCAGTGGTACCAGGTTGTCAAGCCCTTGTCTCTGTGGTGAGATAATCATGAAACACCGAAGGAGGTGATAGAGGTTGGGTGATTGATGTGTACGTTTTACCATGCTAGATGGTGTGTGTGTTTGCCGAGACGTGTGCGAGTATTGAATGGAGTGGTGGAGGTGCTGTGTCAGGTGCTAAGCGAGGTTATGGGTCTGCGTTGGAGTGGCCGGTGGTGGGTGTGTTCTTGTGCGTGTGTCTAATCAATTGTACGATGCTGAATCATATGTTTATTTTAATAGCAGTTCTCAATTATTGTTCATGCCGAAGTCATTGCATCACGACAAGCTATGTGCTGTTCAAAGTTTCACAAATTATTCAACATGATATCTTTCAAATTTTATCCAATGCATTTCCTTTGTTATGTAATGAATTTCAGATGCATACCTTATATCCAGCTTTGTACTCTTTCCTTGATTAACAGCTAATGATATGAATATGACTTTATTTCAGTCAGTGTTTTCTAGCTTGTAAACTGGCCAAAATAAATATTTGTAAAGTGTTTCAATACCGGTTTACAGATTTTCGTCCATATGTGTTCCCATTAACACTTTTCGTTAATGCTCGCAATTTAATGTGTAAACTTGCGGTGCTTTCTTCTTATACCATAAATAAAATTCAATAAGATCTCCTGTTCAAACAAAATATAAACAGAAAGGTCTTTTTGGTTAATCCAGTAGCTAGGATAGAGTTTTTTAATTCTTTTCATTTTTATAAGAAGATAAAAACACTGGTAGGATTTGTAGATGTACTATATTTATTATTACAAGCGAACTCCCTTTAATTTGTGTTTTTAAATTTTTGTGTGCAAAATAACATTTTGAGAAATGAAAGTTGATTTTCAAAACTTAACGTATCACTCAAATTTGTTGAACCTCTATAGTTTTTGCGTTCCCGCATGGCTCTTACCTTTTTTTACCTTTTTCCCTCCTGAACTCTCAACTGTTTTTGCTTTAAAAGAAAATTCTTCCAAGTCATTCTACTTGCAGATGGCCCCAGATCCTATGATTTTCCACCTTTTTTCTACCTCTTCTCTCACCCTCTCTCTTTCTTTCTCTTTCTCTTTCTTTCTCTTTCTTTCTCTTTCTTTCTCTTTCTCTTTTCTTTCTCTTGCTCTTTCCCTCTGTCTGTCTTTATGTTTGTTTCTTACCCTAGGTCGTGAGTAATTGTTGTGTGTCCACTAAGTTTTATCTGCATAAAGCTTTCAACTCATCAACCGGCCATATTTTTAATATGCAATCTTTCTCCCTTCCTTGAACTGAGTAAAACCCTAATCTATCTAAACCCCTTCATTTAAACAAAAATTTAACCGTCATGCTAATGCTAGAACCTTGTTTTGATCTTCTTTTCTCCAAACGTGTGTGCTTGGGTGTGTGCTTGGGTGTGGGTGAAACAGCAACTTTGTGCTCCAGCGTAGCTCTGGCCTGCATGACACCGGGGTTATCAGATGGCAGCTTCTTCTCTGTTTGGCGCTCGTCTGGATCTTGACTTTCCTCGCTCTCGTCAAGGGTGTCAAAAGTGTTGGAAAGGTAAGAAAATAATTTCTGCATCACTCACGTGTATGTATACAGTCAGGCTAACTCGGATCCGGGGACAACTCGGGCCCCAATGCAAAAAAAGTCAATTTTTGCAGGTTAGGATTAGGGTTAGGGTAAAATGACAAAAAAATAACAGTTTTTGCATTGGGGCCGAGTTGTCCCTGGGTCCAAGTTAGCCTGGATCCGTATGAATATCCTTGTTTTTTTCGTCTTCTAAATACATTTTTTAAGCTGACTCATGACTATCTTACATTGGAGTGATGAAACCTTAAACATTTCAGTCTGCTTTCAAAAACAGGAAATCTGATTAGGTAAAAAGTTGAAACTTGAGTAAGTTCCTTGAAAAGAGGTGGGAGAAACAATTTTGAAATAGAGAGAACTAGGTGTTTGTCATCATGAGATAGTTACCGTGGACTTTTACTCAACACAACCGCCCAGCAAAACGATGAATTAGAACAAGAGATTTAGATGTAAATCATGTAATATCCTCTTGTCAATTAAAGGGTAATTACCAGAACACAAATGGTTGGCATGTACTTTATCCAAGCAGGCAATCACTCGACACATTGCAATAATATCCAGGGACGACTAAAGTGTTGAGCACCCCCCCCCCCTCCCCACCTCCCTCCCCACCTCCCCACCTCATAAAAAAGGATACCCATATTTGGGAGCTTTGAGTTTGAAGGTTAATACAAAAGTAACAAAACCTGTGACACACAAATCCTAGTCCTTATTTTAAAAACGCTATTCATTACCAGATTTGCCATTATATTGTCCCTACTGCGGCAACTGCTTTGGTTGGCAAAATCTTCTTTTACCAAGTCTGTGCTATTGTAAACATACATGTATGGGCTCATGCCCCATGAATGCACCATTCCAGTCTAAATTCTTTGGAAAAGTTATTCTTATTATCAAGAAAATGGAGATACCCTTGTCATGCTGCGAAACTGTACAATATTCTTGCTTTATGCCTCTTATACATTTTGGTGGGGAATCTAATAAATCTCTCGGAATAGGTAAAGTTATTTCTTGGGGTAAGGTTTTCCAAGAAAATTGAAACAATCCCATTTAGATTCTCATTTGGATTATAATTACCCTTCACAGGAATTCTTTGTACTGGTACACAATTCCCCATCTTTTACCCCGTTTATACTGGGATTTAGGGCACTTCAGGTTAAAGGGGCTTTGATAGGGTGTTTCATTTCTGCTTCAGAGGCATCATAATGGTAGCATTTAGACTATTCAGTGATCCTTGAAACTTGACAGTGTTTACAGGTACTCCTTTTTTATGTGGAGGCAGTGGAGCAATACCTTTGTAGCGGCTCTTGCATTCGCCCTACTTTTTACCGTACATTCATGAGATAATACATGTGGCACCTGCTTTGGTCTGCTTTGATGGTCAACAAATTGGGTGTAAAGCTGCCTTTACAATGCAACCAATAAACGTTGACAAAACTCTGGAATGTGGAAAAAAAACCAACATCTTTTTGCTTACAGTGTAAATGCAGCTACTTTTGCTTGAAACAGACCAACATCTGTGGAATTGGAATGACTGACCTTGTAAACTAGTTCTTGATCTGTTCATCCAGTTTACTCATCCTTTTTTGTTGTCTCAGTAGACTTTAGAATTGGTAATGGTCTCATTAAATATCTGGCCACTATTTGCTGATCAAATAATGATGGTCAACATTTGGTCAACAAACTTTGCAGTTTGCATTTCATAAAATGCTTAGCTTTTTCTTCGTGTACACCTATCAGCCAACCCTTATATTGTAGATCTTATTGTTCTGTATTGGCATAGCTTATATAGCAAATATACTCTTTGATTTATATCTTTTCTTTCGATCCTCAAAAGGCCCGTCTTCATTATCTCGAGATTGCCAAATATCCAGCTATTTGAACTATCCTGATCGCAAACTATCCAGCTAATTGCGTCTTCATTAGAACGAAGTAGCAAATTAGCTGGATAGTTGGTCGGGATCATATCCCAAGATATCTTGGGATAGTTTGCAAAATATCATACTATTTGGCAAAATATCCAGCTATTTGTCCCGTGCGTCTTCACTAGACCGAAGATTCGCAATACACGCTAACGCTGAGCAAAATATCTCGAGCTAATTTCTCAAGGTCGAGTTTCAAGTTTCGAGGTCGAATCTCGAGATAGTGAAGACGAGATATTTGGCAATCTCGAGATGATGAAACTCCTTTCAAGTAAATATTTAACTTTTCAAGTGGAAATGGTTGAGGTGTAATTGTGCATGAATATATCTCAATTGTTTAGACCATGAAATTCCTTTGGAGGTTTTCTTTATGAGTGCTCAACACTCATTTACGTAGTTGGTTTGCTCGTAATCGTCTCACTAAACATAAGATCGCTCGTTTAAACTGCATGTAAACTTTCAGTTTTCAAAGCCATCATTTAGTTTAAAGTGATCCTTTAACATTGTTAAATCTGAGGTGCACAGCCCTACATGTTATCAGTGCCTGTGATATGGTGTTATATTGAAGCCCTAAAAAATTGCGCTTCAAAGTGCCTCAAAAAAAGTAAAAACCTTTGAGTGACCGGTTTTTACCATACTCGTTTTCCCCAATAGACTGTAGTATAATAAAAACCGTTTGGCAAACGCAAAATTTGATTTTAATCATAAATATCTTGATAATCAGACACGCGATTGGCTTGTAAAAGTCATGGGGTTCCTGACTGACCTAAAGGTGTATAATTATCATTGCAGCGTGAGCTAAATCAAGGATTTTTTAAAGGATCTAAGACAAAGTTTCCAGATCCCTCTTAAAACCACAAGGCACTAGCCTAATTCAGATTTTACAGAATCTTGTGTGAACCCAACCATTATTGCAAGGAAGTGGAAAGGGCAGTGTCTGGGCAACTCATGTTTTACTTTAGTTCACTAAGAGCGCGTTTATCTAGGCTTGCCACTAGATATGTACATATCGTACCCCACTATCGAACCCCACTATCGTACCCCACTATACGATCGTGATTTGCGGGATGTCGCGTTTATCGACCCTTCACGATTCAAAATAAAGGCCTTGTGTCTGCCCAGCTGTTTTGACCTGGGAAGCAGACAGTTTCTCGGAGGTCAACTTCACACGTATGCTTGTACACAACACCTGGGTGATCATATTTGTATGTGAGGTTCAAAACAGCTTTGCGTTTATCGATCTCTCAGAAACGTGATTCTGGCTGTATGTCACATTCAAAACGCACCTTTTTGCGTCTTTAGATATGCCGATATCTAAAGACGTTTGAAAAAGGCTTTGCGTTTATCTACTTCTAAATTTGCCTGAAAGACGTTTGAGAAACCTGATTCTAGCCAAAAATTTGCTAGATAAACGCAACCAAGAAGACATCCAAGTAGATGGTATGCAATCTAGACTCTACATGCTTTGATAAATCCCTTTGCATGGTTGATGACACAGGGGAGGCATGCATGCATGTATGAACAATACAGCTTGGGACTTAAAGCCCAAGTCCACTCCAAAAATAACTTACTTTCAATAGAAGCAGAAAAATCAGACTAACCAATCAAAAAAATCTGAGCAAAATTGGATAACTATTAAGAAAGTTATGATTATTTAATGACATTAAAAAATTTGAAAATCACTAAACAAATTGGCAACTCACTCATGAGTCTGTGACGTCATGTCCTCACTATCCACTAATTATTTTCTTTATATTGCTGATATAAATTTCCTATTTTCTCCTTAAGAATCTTATTTCTTCACACCAACATCCAAGTTAGATTAATAGTAATATGTTTTTGTGTGGATGCACTAATATAGAGGTTTTTTTTCCAGTTAAATCATGAAAAATGTGAAATTTGATACTATTTATATAAAAATCAGTAATTATGAATATAATATACAATATTCAGAAAATAGTATAAATTCTTCAAAGTTCATAAAAGATTTTGTGAAATGTCATGCAAAAATTCATAACTTTGTTATTAGTTACCCGATTTTGCTCAAACTTTTGTTGATTGGTTTGGCTGATTATTCTGCTTTTATTGAAAGTAAATTATTTTTTGAGTGGACTTGGGCTTTAAGTCCCAAGCTGTATTGTTCATACATGCATGCATGCCTCCCCTGTGTCATCAACCATGCAAAGGGATTTATCAAAGCATGTAGAGCCACTGACATTAGGCCTGGCTTCATCAGGCTAAATTTGCAAAATAACTCGCTATTTTAACTAGCCCGATCTCAAATTATCCAGCTAATTTGCGTCTTCATCAGCTCGCAGTTGCAAGTAGCAGGCTATTTAGTCGAGAAAATATCCCAATAAATCTTGGTCTTGTTTCCAAAATAAACCGCTATTTACGGCTAATTTGCGCCCATCTTCATCTAGTTTGTGATGAGCGTATCGGTGTGGTGAAGATGCTATTTCATCAAACGTTATTAGATAAAGTGTTTTTATTACAGTAGAAGATTATTTGTATTATTTGTAATTCCCCCTTTCGCTCCCATACAGACGCTCTATTTTTTTATAATAAAATACTGAAGGTAAAAGACTTATATTTCTTCCAACTTGGTCAATTTATGTATAATTATAATAATAATATGTTGCCATCTGTTTTTCAAGAAATGTTTTTTTGAAAATAGCTCGGTTCATAATTACCCAAAAAGACATTCAGATGATTTCCATTTACCTCTCTTGCGGACCCTCTCAGCTCAAAAAACATTTATAAATGAAGGTCCAAAGTTTTGGAATTCATTAAGTGGTGAAATAAAAAATGCTCCATCGATTAATACTTTTAAGAAAAAATTGAAGTTGTTTTTATTAAAATCATATACACCTCATTGAATTTTATGCCGTTGTTGCTTTTTGCTTAATACACGATCATTCTCCGCTCATTGACTGAAGATGTAATTTGATATATTATATTGTTCCTTCTCATGCTTATTTCCTTTCTAACGCGCATTTCTCTTTCCTTTCTCTTTCCTTATCTTCTTCTCAACCCCACATGCAGCTCATCTTTTAGTATTATTTTCTGTACCCTCGATCTCTCACTTCTTTTTGTCATTGTCTACTCTTTGTATTATGTATTGTCGTGTAAAGTACTGTCTTGTCCCTTTCTCGTCTCTGTTGGCATTCCCCCTTTTCTTTCCCCTATTTTGTAGTTCCTTTTGTAATTACAGATTAGTTAATTTAATTACTCATTATTCCTAAGTTTCATTTGAGGTGTTCACACTTGTACAAGCATTGCTTTTTAGTGGACCCCTTTGTTTTCAACATGTATTTCTTAAATTTGTTTTAAATACTTATAATTGATTTGTAATGTTTTGTTGGAAACATGAATAAATTTGAAATCTTGAAAATCTTGAAATTTCGAGCTTCGGGAAAATATCCCGAGTCTCAAAGTAGCGGGTTATTTTGCAACCTTGGTCTGATGAAGACAGGACTATTGTCTTGATTTGAATGCAAGATTCATTACTTGGTCTGCTTACTGAGCCATCCATATTTTAAGGACCAAACTGCTGTGATTATGAAATCCATACCATTTTTACCTGTTTCGGGTACGATCAACATTTCACTTTAGTATTTTAAAGTGAAAATACAATTTCCGTCCATTCTTTTTCACTTGAGCTAAGCAAATTTAGTTTGAAACAGTGTGGAAAGCTCAATCAAAATGTTCAAGCACTGGGTTTGTGAAGTATACAGCCCAGATTGTCACCCAAGTATTTTGATTGACAATTGTTTGTGGGTTTTAAAAAAAATCTGAAGGATGTACCCGTTATCTCATCCTTCTGTATACAGTGGATATTTTAAGAGTGAGATACCGATAGGTCAGTTAATTGTTGTCTTTTGTAATCAGGTTCCATGAGTCCGTTCTACAAGGACAGCCTATTAAAGTCATTGCTCTCTGCTGAGTGAAGCTAGACACAGTGAATATGACATAAATGCATGTTAAAAAATATGACTGAAAGATTATAATAATAGTAATGATGATGATAACTACAACATGCCTCGTTTAGCTAGGGTGTTCTCAATAGTATTATTGATATATTTATAATAGAGCAAATCGGGCAAAGCATAAACAATTCTACCAGAGATGAATTAATCCTGAACAAAATTATACAAATGAAATAGACTACATTTTCAAAATAAAAAGAAGAAAATCAACACTTTAAACGTGATAGGAGCTTTGTTCTTCCCTTTACTTCAGGTACACATATTCACTTATATTTTATCACTATTAACTCAAAAGACTACCAGGAAAGTGTCCTAAATATAGCAATTACCGTGAAATTGATGGAATTTGTATAATGCATCATCAGATTATCAATTTGCAGGCACACTTCATTAGGAAACGAGATGAATTTATTAAACTTTAAGCTGGTACTGCAAATACCTGCAGTATATTCCACATTAAAGGCCCACTGCACTACTTTTAGCTACTTGCGCCCTCTATATAACAAACAATGACTAATCGGTGACCATTGGTCCCCCATGATCCTCTTTTTCTTATGTTAACTGAGAGCTGAGTTGATGAGATAACCACCTATCCAGTGACCTTGCAGGGCAGTCTAATCCCTCCTATAAACTACGGCAGATAAGCTTTAAATGTGAACTCTGTTAATAATTCATGTCAGCAGAATTACATGTACTTGTGAGAAGACAACTTACTGCACAATATGTGTATGTTTCTTTTAATATGATACATAGTTTGTTTGGTCGAATGAGTATTTATATAGGAAAAAAATCAAATTGGCAATAATGCAAATCTAAAATCATTATATTTACATACAAACTTGCAAATTCTTAAAGGGATCGTTTAACAATGTTAAATCTGAGATACACGGCCGTACATGTTATCAGTGTCTGTGATATGGTGTAATATCGAAGCCCTAAAAAAAAATTCGCTTTAAAATGATGGAGAAGTGCCTTAAAAAAGTAAAAAATCTTTGAGTGACCGGTTTTACCATACTCGTTTTCCCCAATAGACTGTAGTGTTATGAAAACGGTTTGGCAAACGGTTTTCAATTTTTTTTATTCCAATCATAAATATCTTGATAATCAGACAGGCGATCAGCTTGTACAAGTCGTGGGGTTCCTGACTGACCTAAAGGTCTATAATTATCATTGCAGCGTGAGCTAAATCCAGAATGTTGTTTCCGAATCTGAGACAAAGTTACCGGATCCCTTTAAAGCTTCATTATAGAACTTACATTTTAAGGGCTTACAGGATAACAATGAACGAGAAAGGTGTTGCTAATACGATGTTCAAAGGAAATCTGATGTATTCAGAGCATTTAGTTTTTCTTTAAAAAGTGGTTGAAACACAATGGGAGCAAAGAGGATAATATATTTTCTCTTTTTCCTAATTTGATGTTGATTTAGGTGGTGTACTTCACTGCAACCTTTCCCTACATTGTGTTGACGATCCTGCTCATCCGTGGCCTTACCTTAGAAGGATCCCTAGACGGTATCCTCTACTACATCAGGCCTAACTTCAGCAGACTCAAGGACCCCAGGGTAAGCTTCTCACTCCTTCTCTCTTGCCAAAAATATGGCAGGAATTTCATTTTTAGCCAATGAGATTGTGAGATCAAGTAGTTCCTCTGGTCATATGAGGTGATGCTCTTCTTTAAAGGTATTACAAAGTTTTGGGAAATTTTGAAAACTGGGCGGATAGTGATTCTTTACAATTTTAATATATTTGGATGCCCCTGTGGATGTATTAAAAACACCATAAATTTTAGCCCCAAAACACTTCTGCTTTCGAGAAAAATTGAATATAAAGATTTACTGGTGCTCCCGGTAAATTTTGATAAATTTCAAATAGCTCCTACGGCCGTTTAATGGTAGCTGCGACAATGAAAATCTCAGAGTATGTAGTTGTGTTATATAATTTCCGAACGAGAATAGCTAATCAGTCAATTTTAGTCAATAAACATTGTTTTATAGCTTAATTCATATCTTGACCTTGAGAGATAGCTATTCTACATAAAGTGTTTATTATTTACAATTTCATAACTTTAGAGTCGATTTCGACCGCGACAACGATCACTAAATATTGTAGGATCGTATATGCTTCCAATATGTTCATTTGAACCAAATTTATGACCCCATACCAAAACTTTGTATTACCTTTAATGCTGTTATCTCAGCTTTTATCGTTTGCAGTATGGCTCCACACTAAATATGTCTAAGGGGACGATTTTACAAAACACACTTGAGCCCTTCTGAAGAGAATATTTACTCAGGATTAATGAGAGTCGTGTCAAGTCTCTTATCATGTGTGTATTATGATATTTTGCATGCAAAAAGGACATTACCAGTATAAATTTAGGCATTTGCAAGTGCATTTCCTGATATATTATTAATTTTTAATTCTATTTATATATTTTACTTAAGTGCATCCATGCCAAACATCACTTCCTTGTTGTTTTTCATTATCTTAGTTGCATACTGTAGACATGAGAGACACGTTATGATAATGTGCCTGGCATTGGATAGTAGCAAAGCATGCCATTGCAAATACCCTTATTTTATATAACAAAGATTGAAAGCATTATTCATGTAATCAAAGTTTCTGATATCCAATTATCTTTCAGCTTTGGCTTTGGTAATCATAATAGCTTTAAGGAACTTTCTAATTTTGTTTATTCATATATCGTATTTTTTTCAACTGCAGAGCATGCAATATCTGTATAATACCCAGTAGTTTCTGATGTAGAAAGAAATTAAATACTAAATACTTCATCATTATCAAAGGAATTCTAAAGGGAAGCAAATATATAAGATTTCAAGCATAGTCATCAGGGTCTCATTTTACAAAACCATCACCAGTAAAAGTTTTTACCAACCATCCATTGAAACGTGGTAATACACATGTTTCAATAGATTGTCAGCAAATTAACTTGTATTAATGATGGTTTCATGAAATGCTGCCTGGGTAATCCATTGAAATCCAAAGAAATTGGCATAATAAATTTGATGTTTAAGAACATTTACTTCAACAGTTCTAAATCTTGATTTGTTTGTTGATGTGTTTTATTGGTTTATATATGAAGGTATGGAAAGATGCTGCTGCTCAGATCTTCTACTCTCTTGGACCGTCCTGGGGTGGTCTACTGACCATGGCTAGCTACAACAAGTTCAACAATAACTTCTACAGGTATATATCTATATCTTATACTCTTCCATCGGAGTAACTGATGTATCTATATTCCTTCCTTTAACATTCCCAGACTATATATACAAAACTGAAAAAAATGTACCTGCATAAAAATCTGGACCCACGTAGCACTTTGTATCAGAGAACAGTTTGTGTTACTACCCTCAAAACATGTCTTTTCTTTTCCAATTTGTTATCATTTTGGTTCCATTTCTTTTAGCACCTATAGATATTGTGAAATTGTTACTATTACTAATGGAAATCGACAATAATATCTTAGTCAATTTAATTTTTGCCCTTAATGGTGTGCGCTTTCATAATGTCTTCTTGTTATTAAAGTGAAGAATGCATTGCAAATACAAACCCATTTTACTAGTAATAAAGTACATTCTAAAGATATGATTTATAAAAATATTACATATTGGTGATGTATAACAATGAATTGAAAATTGAAATGATAATCAGTACCAATAATACATTTTGCTTTTAAAGCACATGAAATAGGAATGATGATTATGATTTTGTATATGGATGATTTTAATGATGTTTTATAAAGATGTATGATAATGATGATGTTTGATAATGATGTTTGATAATGATGTTTAGCGATGATGATGTATAATAATGATTTATAACGAATGTTATTTTTTGATACAGGGACGGGATCATCATCGCCCTTCTGAACTGTAGCACCAGCATCTTCGCAGGTTTTGTCATCTTCTCTGTTGTTGGCTTCATGTCGTTTGACTCGGGTCTCCCCATCGATAAGGTCGCTACTTCAGGTGTGTATGAATTCAATCTCCACTGAGTCCTTTAAAAATCATTTTAATGTCTATTCTTATTCATTCATCTTATTTTGTTGGCAAGACAGTTTGGACTAATTTCTTATCGATATGGATGTTCAAGAAAATTTTTACTATTCTTCATAGAAATATTCCTCATAGATAGCTTTATGAAACCAATGAGCATTTGCAAACTTCCAAGTTGGATGAATGGGGTTTAATGTCATAAATTTCATATTGATTTTATATTGATTTTATATTGATATCATATCGATTTCATGTTGATTTCATATTGAACTCACATTGATATCATATTGATTTCATATTGAATTCATTCAAATGTTAATAGTTATAAATGTATCAAAGAACCAAACTATTTACATTAAGTTTTAAAATACCAAAAACGGTCATTCATATTAGATTACAACATAAAGTCACTCGCAACATTTGGTTATCAAATAACCCCTATACCACAAGGTTTCGCCATGAAAGATACTTAATTACAAATAATTGCAAATGTTGGGATTCTACCATGCCTGGGACAATAGGCAGACTTGAGTCACTGTAACACTGTGGTCTCTGCCCCTCTGCTACCAGTAGAACTTATTATACAAATCATCTGTATAGAGCCAGAAGGGCATTACGTCATATACTTTACTACAATGCTATCACCCTTTTGGCTCTGATAAGATTACCCCCCCCCCCCCCCCCCCCCCCCCCCCTTGAGATAGGTTAGATAGCTTTGAAAGACTCTCATCACACTATTCAAGACCTTTGTACTATTGCCATACCCATAAGCCTTGACCTTTTATGTGGTTTTCAAATGACGTGAAGACATTTGATATATCCATCATATTACTCATATTAAGAACTTATCTTTGATCTGGAAAAGGAAACGAATTGACCAAGTCTAAAGTACACTTTAATGGAGAGGTAAATCACCACTGTTTAATGGGGAAATCCAACCTTAACAGACAACTACTCTAAAAGAAAGAAGAAAAAAAATCAGATAAGCAGATTGGTGAAAGTGAATTAATTCAGACAAAAAATAAGAGAGTTATGAATTTGTTTATTGTAATCAATATACACATGAGCACTCCCAATTGGCTGAATGTGTAATGACACTGTGACAAAGTAGACTACTTACCAATTTGTTTCAACACATAAAATATTAACATTTTCAAAATTAGAAATTCAGTCGGTCTTTTCTGTATAGAGGATCTATAGTTATCTATACTATATTTTGATCGGTGCCCCAAGTGAAAAGGCACTTATGAAGAAAAAAAGGGATATTAATGATATTTTTGCACACAACAAATAGAAGAGTTGTCCCATGACTACAATCCATTGACTAATAATAATAATAATTAAACATTTTTATATAGCGCAGCCATAACACATATTTCAAACTTTCCTCATTCTGTTTCTCTGATCTTCCATACCAATGTATTTATTACAAATGTTGGGTTGCTCTAGGAAACCCATGTGAAGCAATGTTCCTTCGATTGCTGTGCCAAACGATAGCTGATATGCTAATCATCGTTTTTTTCCTTTCCTGTGCCAAATTTTACAGTACCGGAAGCTTATTTGATGATGAAGGTCATTATGTAATTACAGTAGTCTTGTTATCTCTTTCTTTCAGGCCCTGATTTGTATTTGTTGTAATATTATGTAAGGGTAGTTTAATTGTGCAAATCCTTGCTTCTTCTTTATGTGCAAGATTTCTCAGCAGCTTTAATATTTCAATGAAAGGCACTATGGAATAATAGAAGTCTTTGTAATCTCTTTCTTTCAGGCCCTGGTTTGGTCTTTGTTGTATACCCTGAAGCCTTAGCACGTATGCCCTTCGCTCCTCTATGGTCAGTCCTCTTCTTCTTCATGTTCATCACCATTGGTCTAGACAGTCAGGTATGTCAAAACAATTTTTTACTGTCAAAGAATAGGGAATCCTACATTTCTATCAGCTTACATGCATGAGTGCAGTCCGTTTATTGGTTTTTAATGCTCCATTTATGAAAGGGATGCATTAAAAAAAATGTTTTTGTGTTGGAAATTGTTTTCTTATTTTATTGGGAAGGCTGGATCCTACCTTACTACTAAGATTTAGGAGGGTTTGTAAAATTAAAGAAAAAATGTCACAAGGAACTGAATTATCACATTTTTCAGTGCCAATATACATACATGTACAAGAGGGGGAAGAGGAGTGGGAAAATAGATAGACAGAAAGAGAGAGAGAGACAAACGGAGAAAGAGACAAACAGAGAAACCAAGAGAAAATGGGAAAGAGACAAACAGAGAGAGAGATAGACAGACAGACAGACATACAGACATACAGACAGAGAAAGAGACAAACAGAGAGATGGGGTTAGAGAGACAGATAGGCACAGAGATAGAGAGATAGTGAGAGAGACAAAAAAGAGAACACTATTGAAATTTAGCATGGTCTAAATCTGGCCGAGACTACCTCTTCTCTGAAAGGCAAAGCAGCTTTTATCATCATCACAATACTTTTCTTATTAAAACCTCTTTAACCTTTCAGTTTGTTGATGTGGAGACTGTTGTCTCTGGCCTTTACGACATTGTTGAAGAGAACATTCCTTACATGAGAGGCAGAAAGACCTTGTTGACGGGAATCATCTCCTTTGTCACGTTTCTCATTGGCATCCTCCTTGTAACACAGGTAAGCCTATAATATTAAACTGATAAGTAGGACATTGATCAAATGGCATTGAGTGAGTTAAAGTGACTCGGTAATATGGTTGAAGGTTGATAAAAAAACTGCGTAATTTTTGTATGAAATGTTACTTATCATATTCCTTCTACTGCACTAACCCTTTAACATGCAAAAAATCCTGAACACATTCTCAAACCACAAAGATATTTACGGTTTTCTTTGAAGGCCTCACTGTGCGACACCCTTTTACAGTAAATTCTCCCAATTATTTTCACAACCATTTTTCCATGAAAATAAAACATAAAACAGGCTTTTCAAAAATCTTTCAACACTTAAATGTCTGGAATTGTATATAGAGCCAAATCATTGCTGTGTAAAGATTTTCATTCACCTAAAATTTTATTAAATTGTTATAATATAGTAGGGAGAAATAAGGAACCGATCAGATCAGTTTTTCCCAATTTGTATCATTAATAATGGTCTGTTTTCACTCAAACTTTCAGATTATCTTTAATTGTACATCTAGCATTGAAGTCACTACCAGCACCATTTTCCCTCATCTGAACAATGTTACCAAGTCCCTTTAAGGCTTTATTTAGAATTTTGAAGTCAAAGTTAAAAATAGTTTAGTTGCTTCCAAATTTATTTCAGAGTGCTTGAGGAAAATGTTTTTGCTTTAGAAAGGTTGAATCAACGTGATTATCATTTTACAGTGGTAAAAGAGAAAATTGTTGATCATGTTTTGTCTACACTGCAAGGGATCTTTACCTCTGTATTCATTTTTCTTGGTTACATTCCTATACATATTACATGGAATGGATTATATGATATTAACCAAGCAATTTTTTAATAGTTTACTTATTGCTTGCTTTTCTCAGGAAATTTACTCTATGCATCCTTTTTTTTTTTTTATTTTGCATTAAAGCCCAAACAATTTTACAAAGTATGGATCAATACTTGTTAATGATTATAATTTAACATGTTGAAACTTTTTGGATGCTTTTTTTGTGCCCTACGATGATACTTTTCTTACCTTCATACGTACATATAACATTTCACAGGATTTGAAAAATATACTGTCAGTTACTTTACAGTTGATACCGGTATACCTGTAAATAAAGTTTTCCTAGAATTCAAATGATAATGATCTAAAGAGAAATTTACTTTGCAGATAAAAGGGCCAGACTGATATACATACAATAGACAGTGTAGAAACTGCAAGCTCAGCAGATTATTAATAGTAAAAGATACAGTTAACAGTTAAATAGAATCAGTTACATGGAATCAGATGCTTTATTGCTTCATAAAAGAGGAGAAGTCAAATAGATTCAGCAAACTCCTGTGTATGTAAAGTAGCATTAAAGATAAAGTTGAGTTCTGGTCATGTGATTGCATTGTGAAAGAAACGGTGTGGAATCGATCAGAAAAGGTTTATCATCTAGCATATAAGTATTTGTGTGTACTGCAAGGTTCTTGAATCATCAAAATGATAATGACTTCTGTACACAGAAAGATGTATATGGGACTACATGAACTTCCGTCCCGATTTGTATGTTACATGACATATTTAGAATATTGAGGCATTTGAAGAGCCATGCTTTTCAGGGTACATTTTTTATCTGATGTTCTTCCACACTTGCATAATACAATGATAGCGCTCACAAATTAGTTTTCAACTTTTCACCTCCCCCAGAACTTAACCTTCTCTTTAAGGTTGATATGCTTCTTGGGTCAATATACAAAGTAAACACATTGAGTGATCTACAATTCAGAATATGATAACCTTGGCTCATGTCCAATACATTTTATGATATACCCAATTCCCAATGGAAAACGTGTTTTAATGAAAAAGTGTCTTAACCCTTACTGTACTGGGCTATTTCGAGCACTCTCTGACTGGGGGGGGGGGGGGGGGCCTGGGAAGGCCCCCCCCCCCCCCTATGATCTCGGCCGTCGAATGTCCGATGAACGCGAAAATTTGCATGTTTGTAGATATTTATGTAAGGAACAAGATGGTATAATTGGTTTTTTCCTAATATGCAAATTTTTGTCGTTATAGCCTAATTCTAATTTTATGCTTTTTCCAGAAAACTCTACATATTTGTCCGTAGACTTGTGAAGAATCTTGAAAATGTATTAAATAAATGTTTCCTTCATCTCAAATTCATGAAGTTTCATTATTTTTATGATATTTAAAAATGCATAGGTTAATTTGCATAAATTATGAATACACATTCATGAATATCAAATCTGGAAATATATACATATAGGGAACTAGAATCATTACAAAAGTTGTCAGATTCCACTTTTGTAATGTTGAAACTCATTATACATATGAAACTTCTTTTATAACACAAAATAGTTATTTGATGTATTTAATAATGATAATTTATGCAAATTTGATGCGATTTTCGACTATTTATTTTCTTATGTATTTTATTGTTTTTTATTTCTTATTATATTTATTGTTTTATTTCTAATGTATTCTTTTATTCTGAAATACATCAAGTTACTTTGAGAAACATATAAAGCAATTTGATATCAATTCATATCTTCACATTTCTGCTTGTACATGAATATATGCAATTATAGCACTTTTTTGATGACATGCGCATACTAATTGTTATGTAACACCTTACAGGTATATCCGATTTCGACGAAAATGGTATCAAAATGTGCGTAAGACTTGAGGGGAAAAAGTCATGAAACGACAATTCAAAATTCCGAGCGGTTGCGGCGCGATCTTCGAAAATGTTGAGGGGGGGGCCTCCCAGGCTCCCCCCCACCCCCCCAGTACAGTAAGGGTTAAGAGCTTTTTTTACGGGGGGGGGGGGAAGGGTGGGGGAAGGAAGCTGCTAAAAAATACCAGTAAGAAAACTGGTACCTTTAATGATGTTACTCATTGAAAAACAATCTTGATTCTATTTCTTCTTTGACGGGGAAAGGTGATTGTAAAAAGTAGAGAAGTAGGATATCGACACAGTCCTGAAGTTGTGTTTTTCCCCTTATAAAGTAGCATTTATTGCAGTACAAAAAGTAGTCAACAACATTATAACAATAGTTTAAACATATTTGTGGCTTACACCCAGTAAATAAGATTGATTGATCGATCTGTAATTGAAAAACAAGGAAGCATTACATTTATAAAAAACATTATAACAGTTTTCAACTTTGGTTATTATTCCTAATAAATTATTTGTTTTTACAGAGTGGAATATACTGGCTGACCCTAATCGACAACTTTGCAAGTACCTTCACCACGTTGGTAGTCGCTGTGTCAGAGTGTCTCGTTATATCTTATGTATATGGTAAGATACCTCCCATTCATTGACATAATGCTTTCTGCTAAGGCTTCCTTGAGTATACAGTCAAACCTGTCTATTAAGGCCATCCAACAGACAGAAACAGGAAAACATGCGACTGTAGACAAGTTTTACCTCTTCTTAGAGGGAAACTACTGCTAAAACAGTTTTGACTGTACATGAACAAAGAATAAGATATACTTGCAAAGTAAACTTTGACTTTGAAAGAGCATTGATTTGGGGCGGATGTAGTCAAGGTAGACTCTTAGACATTTTATTCTCTTTGATACATGTGACCCTTTGCTTCAATGAGTTGTACCTATTATTCAAAGGTACAACTCATTGTATCTGTGCTTATCTGTAGACTGTGTCTAGGATATCATATAGATACCTATTATTCAAACAATTATTTCTAGCTGTGTGTATACTTATACATATGAGATGAAATAACTTGTTTCTGTTGTGGTTTTGTAGGTGCTGGACGATTTGTGGAGGACTTGAAGGTTATGCTTGGCTACAGAATCCCTGTTTACTGGCAGATTGCTTGGATGTTCATCGCTCCTTTTGTCATTGTGGTAAGACAAAATACCCTTAACCCTAATTTTGCTCATTTTTATGAGACAGTAAAAAACAAAAGAAGAAAAAAAAAGTGATATCTTTCATATTCTAATATTTAATTTGTGTACAGCTTACCTCAGAAACCTCTACTTGGCATTCTATGAATAAATTATTAAGGAGTTTGAAGAAAGTAAAGGACAACCTATGCAAGCACTTATGAGTGCATTGTGTTGTTGAGATTGTATCTAAATTTACAATGTATATCTCTTCATAGAATTTTTTAAACACATATTTTAGATCTAGTATATAGACATGGAAGCCCCAACATCCAGAGCAAAATCTGTTTTTTGTGATTGGTACACTTCAAAAAAGAACAAGAAATCTAAAAGAAGCACAGAAAAATAGTATCGTCATGTTTGTGAATGGCTTGTTGGTGAGAGGAATACGAGTCACAAAATTGCATCAGACAGAGATGTCTTGTTGCAGGGCAGTTTCTCAGTTGCACCAAAGAAGACCAGTAGCAGACCAAACAGAAAATTGCATTACCCCTGATTTAGGTTTAGAGTCGGTTTAGAATTGGTTTAGAGTAAATTGAGAGTCAGTTAGAGTCGGTTTAGAGTCAGTTATGGGTTATAGTCGGTTTAGAGTCAGTTAGAGTCGGTTTTGAGTCAGTTAGAGTCAGTTTAGCAGTGTGACTGAGGTTTTGTGTGTGATTTCAGGCTCTGGCAGTTTAATTTGTCGGACATAAAGATACAAAGCAATTGCAGATTCAGTATGGCTCGTTGTATTTTTAGACTCATCGCTTAAAACCAACTTGCATTTCTGATCAGAGAATTAGGCATATTTGGTCTTTGACTCCCAAAACAAATTATTCAAGCACATAATGGCTTTATCTAAAGATGGTACTCTTCCTCATAATGGGAGAAATATTTCATGCAAAGCTCTGAGTGAAAGAGGGGATTGATTAAACCTTTTTTTTAAATAAAGTTTCCCATGGGAACTTGGAAGCAGCCAATTAACTAGATTGTTGGTGTAATTAGCATGTACACTATGTATTTTCCATCAATACTGATGATTTTCTTTCAGTGATTATCGGACATTGCCATTATCCTTGTCCATGTCTTTTTGTCTCTTTCCTGATGTACATCCTCTGTTTAAGTTTATACAGCTGTCAAAACTATCGATTGACTTTCCTGTCTTCTCACAAAGCTTAAAGTGGAAGTTTATCCTGATATCAAGTTGATATCAAGTTGCTCTCAATAAAAACAGAATAATGAGAGAAGTAGATCAGGGAAAGAGGAAAATCAAATTAAGAGATAAGAAAGTTAGGATTTTTAAAGTAGTAATGGATGTGATCAGTGTAAAAATTACTGTTCACAGGAGCTCTTTTAGGATTAGGGCGTTTTTCTGTGATTTTCTCACAGTGATATTTAAGTATTATTTTTATCAGTTTAGAGTTCTTTTTCTATTTACCTGAGCTAAATTGCTCACCTCTTGTGATTTTCTGTTTTACTGGATGACACACATCTTGTGAGCAGCTTTCTGTATGTTATGTTTTGTTTTGGGAATTATTAAAATATTTATCTTTAACATCAGGGTTGTGTAAAAATATGACCTGGGACATATAATCTGTCAGGAGTCAATAGGGCATTAATTCATTATTAATCACAGAGGTAATGCCCTTCTTTCTTTTAATATTTCTTCTGAGAACATTTTTATGAAGTTTATAGACATTTTCTAATAAAAACAAATGAAGAGCTGATTCAAACGAATAATCACAGACTTGCCAATGTTTTGATTATCATCACTGTATAACTGATCACAGCTTTAAAACAGCGATACTTAAAAATTTTGTTATTCATTGACAGATTCTTTTCATACATTTCCTTAACTGTTTCTCTCATTGCTTTTATCAAAACAACCTTGATGTCAAAGTGGACTTCCTTTCGATTCTTTCATTATGTCAAACACTCAACGAACCTTGGGATACTTGACATTGTTAACAAAAATCCTTGAAATAGCGAGGTCAAAGCCCCGATTAGTCCAGAAGTGAACGTTGTACATGACTCGCATTAAAGTAAATGATATTAAATCTCTTGTTAAAAAATTATCTAATTTCAGCTGAATTCATCGGGGGATTTGGCAGCCAATCTAGCACATGTTTTTTTTTAGATTGAACTTTCATACACTTGATAAAAAAATGGGAAGCAGATTTCGTCCCATTAGCCATTTCAATTGCCATTTTTAAAGAATATATGTAATGACATAGAATAATTATCTCATGTAGTATGTATGTTCAGTTATTGTAAGAAACCATGGGGGTCCTTCAGACCTGCCAACCAGTACGATTTTTCCTCAATAAAATATGATTTTTAACAACAACAACAAAGTATCCTACAAGCATCTCACATCGGCAATTGGGGGATGTTCATTGGTTCATCGAAACACACCAGTCGTGATGAAATTAGGCATATTGATATTCAACCAATGATCCATAAAGAAATGTCTTCCTGTATTTAGGAACTGTATGAGGCATTGATCTGCGTAACAGTCCCTGTTTATTTTTAAGAATACAACTTTTGTCAGTAAAATACAACTTTGTGGATTAAAGAATACAGTTTTTTAACTCCAGAGGTTGGCAGGTCTGGTCCTTTCTCTTTGTAGAAATATTGTTCAAATTAAAGAGTCTTTCTTGATGTTTGGATCATCTTCCTTCATTCCCCAGTCAATGTTGAGCTCCATCATGTGATATTCGCTATCCATTGACATCATTCTTGTTTCTCTGCAGTTCATTTTCATCTTCTTCTGCGTGGTTTACCAACCCCTGATCTATGATGCAAGCTACACCTACCGCTATCCATTCACATTGATATCATTCTTGTTTCTCTGCAGTTCATTTTCATCTTCTTCTGCGTGGTTTACCAACCCCTGATCTATGATGCAAGCTACACCTACCGCTATCCATTCACATTGATATCATTCTTGTTTCTCTGCAGTTTATTTTCATCTTCTTCTGCGTGGTATACCAACCCCTGATCTATGATGCAAGCTACACCTATCGCTATCCATTCACATTGATATCATTCTTGTTTCTCTGTAGTTCATTTTCATCTTCTTCTGCGTGGTATACCAACCCCTGATCTACGATGCAAGCTACACCTACCCTCAGTGGGGTGAGACTCTAGGATGGTTGATGGCTCTCTCTGCGATGATCTTCATTCCAGGATATTTCCTCTTCTTCTTTCTCTTCAAGACGGAGGGATCGATACGAGAGGTAAATTGTTTGTTTTTGACCAGGGGGGTGTTTTACAAAGATTCTAAGTCAAACTTAACTCTAAGTTGTCTTAAATATTATGGAGAGCCATTTGTACCTTTATAAAGAAAAGCAAAAAATTAAGCATTTAGACTTTCCATAAATTCCACATCAAGAACAAGAAATCTCCCATGATAATAGAAAATAAGAATGATTTAAATCAACATGTTGTGCCTTTTAAAATAACTTTTACAAAATATTTTCAAGGATGCTAACAACTTTCTATAATCATTAAGTCCAACTTAGAGTCAAGTTCAACTTAGGATCTTCGTGAAACGCCCCCCTGACTGCTAAGAAAGTATATGTATGCTTGTAAGTAAGCAACCAGGGGACCGACGGCTTTAAGTCCTCTGTGAGGATCTTGGTAATGAGGATTAATGCCTTACTAAGGGAGACTTCCGCATTGACTTGGTTTCAAACTCAGGACCTCCTGGTTACGAGACCACTGCTCTACTACTGAGCCATCGCACCTTAAATCACAGACATTCATAAATTTATGCGATTTTAAAGAGAAAGTCAAGTTCTAGTAAAGGGGGGAAATAATTTATGAACTTTTTCATTCCCTTTTTAGTTTATATGGTGTAGAAGAATATCAAAGGATGAAATACCCCTTGATAAGGAATTAAGGATTGCTTATCAGATACCCTCATATTAAAAATATGGCAAGAAAGCTGAAATGTTTGGACTAAATTTTCATGGCACATGTATTTCTGTAGTCCCATATACACATTTCTGTGTGCAGGAAATGTGACTGTCAGCTAGATGAAGTCTATCTCTTATCATTCTGATAATTAAAAAGCAGGCAGTACACACCAGTTGTACATAATCAACTTTTCTCATTGGCTGCAGGCAATGTACTTGCATGAGTAGAACTCAACTAAAATTTTGTCTGGGTAATTACTAGAAAGCTAGTCAATGAATGTAGGTATTAAAGCTGTAGGGTACTCCTAAAGTACTCGCCTGGAACAAATATGCATTTCTAGGATCCAGATTCATTAATTTGTTTATTTTATCTGACTACAATGAACACAAGTCCTGAGAAATTCAGTTAGGTAAGCTCTAGATAACTTAAGTAATCAAAGTATTTAGTTTAAACAAGATTTAGATAGCGTAATGGTCTATGAAAGATTTATCTGTTGGTTTATTGTTCTAGAGTGTTTAGAAGAAACTAAAGCTCCGAGGCACTTCAAAATTCCTCTCATCAACGTAAAAATGGAATGTTCCACGATTGCTTGATTTGTTTATTTTACCAGAAATACATGCATGCTCTTATTCACCAGGGCACTTCCAAAACTATGTTTGAACCAATGTTTAGCATTTGCTGTGACAAGAAGAATTTGTAACCTTTCAATACCAGGCTACAAATATCTGAAAATGTCTGTTTTACATCGATATATGGATTATGAACACAAATACAAAGACTGTCACTGTAATATTGAATATACTTATGCTGTGTTTTTGTGTGTTTTTCTTTATCATCGCACAGAGATTCCATACATGCCTCTCACCGTCAGAGAAATGGGGACCGTTGAGGAACGAGGACAGGCTGCTGGCAGGGTACCCTCTCCTAGAGGGCCATGATGCAGAAGATATCAACCAGACCACTGTTTGAGTAGTACCTAGCTAGCACACTCTCCCTCCCTCCGTCCCTCCCTCCCTGGTCTATGCCCCAACGACTTAACAGCACCAAAGCTTAGAAGCACTATGCACTGCCCTTTTCTCTTAACTCATGTCCGTAGGTTTCTTTATCTCCGAGTATAAAAAGCAGCGTAGGTTGTGGTATTAATCCCTGGACAAAATGGTTGGGTTTCTCCAACTGTACTCGGTTCCTTTGATCTAGCATATGCTCCGGCGACATCAGGGGGGTGTTTCACAAAACTTGTCATCAGTGACAAATGACAGTTTTTGTTATAAGCTACTGAAATCCTTGCTTCTGATATGGTATCAGCAGATTTGTCACTGATTTTTGTCATTTGTCATTTTTGTCATTGAAACGGGTCCCTGTTCTAGGCTAGCGTTAGGATTGCACTTTATGTTTTTGGTAAGATTAAAGTTGAGAGTGAGGTGTAGTGTAGGGTCCAACGTAGCTTGATGTACTAAAATGGCCGCAGAGCCATTGTCGCCGGAGCATGTGCCGTGCAATGTATGCTTTAATATTCTCAAGGCTTTGAAGACATTCTTGAAATACCTTTTCTCATTTGAGGTGTGAGCCTGAGTTTCAGCAATTTCGCACAAAGTAGAGGATTATTAATTATCCTATTAAACAAGGAGGCTGATTTTGCTGTTCATTTGTTTTGATATTCTAATTCTTTATATTCGTACTTAACCAGCCACTTATCGACAATCCTTGATTATCTAATGCATGTTGAAAGGGCAATCTCAGGATTCATGTAAGTTCAATACCTTTTCTCATGAAGGTTCTCCTTTGTGCCAACAGCCCCGTGTATTGCTTTTTATGTAATACATGTATCATGTTTCCATTTTCTCCCCTTTAAAAATGCTTGTTACTTTGTCAATGTGAATATTCCAATGATGCGCGTCATACAATCAAGAGAAGCTCATTCTTTAGTTAATCAAGACTGGATTAAATGTTACAGTATTATCTCTTCTCTGCTCCACTCAGAACATCTCCAAACCGATGGATTTCAGGTGATTCTAGTGTAGTCCTAGACATTGTCTTTGCGGCTTATTCTTTGTGCTATTATATTTATTTTGGGACCTCTACTGTATTTTCTATTGTAAACCTCTACTTTTGATATAGTTTTTTAAAGCTTTTGTAAACCTTATTTGTGATAATACTGTGACAAGAACACCATTCCAATATTGTTTAAGCCATTATTTGGATTTAAAAGAATTTAAAGAGAAGGTTGAGTTCTGGGAAGAGGTGAAAAATAATTTGTGAGCATTACTCATTCTTATTATGCAAGTGTGGAAGAACATCAGTTAAGACATGTTCCCTGAGAAGCATGGCTCTTCAAATGCCTTCATATTCTAAATATGCATGTAACATTGTAAAAATCGGGGGGCCGGCTTTTTATGCCACGTGTTCGTGTAGTCCCATATACATCTTTCTGTGCAAGTGTTTGTAACTTTACCAAGACTTGGCCAAATTTCTTATCATTTTGATGATTCCAGAACCTTGCAATACACACAAATTCTTATATGCTAGATGATCAACCTTTTCTGGTCGGTTCCACACCGTTTCTTTCACAATGCAATCGCATGACCAGAACTCAACTTCATCTTTAAAGGACAATACACAAGTTTACACTGATCAGAAAATACACAAGTGCTCTCTGTCGTATTAGGTGCTTATTTATGCCATTTGGTCATTCTTGATAGATATGTGAATCAGTATTTATTATTCGGTGGTAAATGGTTGATTATGCATTTCTTCGGATGCAGTGAAAGATTGTATCAACTGTTCGTACTTTAAAAAAGATATTATTTTGCTCTGAATACTTGGTGTTGCATATTTTGACGGTCATTATCTCGCTTCCTTCCTTTTGATAACAGTATAATTTAGGTGTACTTGCCTCCTTGATAGTATCTTAAGATAAATCTGATTTTAATGATACATTGTAGAGTGAAGACCCTGACATAAGTAACTGGGGTTGAAAGAAATATTTGTTGATAGGTCTAAGTTTGAAATTAAATGTCCTGAAAGGAATCTTCATAATGTATATTTTATATTATTAATTTCCTCCAGCATATTCCATTATCAAGCTTATAAAGCTTCTTTTATTGTGTTCCACTGTGACATTTCATGAAGAGAACCAAATATAAGTTTTTACAGAGTATTATTTATGCACTATTTTTAGTTAAAATACAATTTTTTGCTAAGGTTTATTCTGTAGTGCCCATTTGTAATATAGAAACAAAGCGCTTAATATTGATAGAAACGATTGAGAAAACTCATGGCACAAAGTAATTATGACATATGACATCTCATTATAAATATATGTTTTAAAGAGTATATTTTTTCTCTGAAAACCCTAAGATAACTTGCTGCATATTATAGGATAAATTTATTTGAATTATAAAGGTATATTGCTTTTGTTCATTTTATGTGCAAGAAGTATAAAATATTCTTAAGGAGTGTGGTTAGAGAAAATGTAAGATTGTAGATGATTTACATGGAAGTTTTCAAGCTCAGTTCATCAAGCAGCTTTACAAATTTTGTTCATCAGTCCAAGGGACTCGGGGCTAGTTACGAATTCAAAAAATGGATTAATTTGTCAGTTAACTTACCATTACTAGTATAAAGCTTGGCTAGGTAAAATGGCTTATATCTCATCTGAGTTCTGTAATTAACTAAGCAAGCCAAATGTAGGTTAGAATACTGACATGTGTTAGCTAAAGTGACTTCAATTGTAGGGCTATTGTCATATTCTCAGACAGCCTCTTCGAAATAGTTGTCTGGTAGCTAGCTAGCTAGCTTACTTGAACTTGGCCAAAAGATGTAGTTGAATACCAATGCTAGCTACCTATGTTAACCTCTCAATGGGTTGCCAATTTGAGGACTTTAAAGCTTATTTTCCTTCTCGAAATGTCTGCCTTCAAGCGCAATGTGGTCATGCAACAAAAATGAAAAAAATATGTGCAGGAACTTATAGCCCATTTTTTTTCATGCATCTGGTATATTTTTTAGGGCTCTGAATAAAAAAAATTACTGACCAAAACCACATAGTGTGGAAAACTTGTTCCTAACAGGGTAAATTGTTGAATTGCAATCTGGCGGAGATCTTAACCTTGATACTGATGGGTAGCTCATCAGAGCAGCAACTGTTGCAAAAGTGTGCCTTGCGAATAAGAAATTTGTGAGTTAATAGGAGTAAAATATTATTTACAACTCTGGCAACAAGTGTTGATCTGTTTAAATATATTTGTAAAAGGCTGTTACCATTGAATTAAATTGACATTTATTTCCATTCTCATGACAATTTAACCAAAAAAAGATCCTTCAATTTTTAGTGGGAGGCATCTTGACTTTTAGTACTTCCTTGCATGTGCATTAGCGAAACAACCAAAAGATCAAATCCAGTGTGTCGTTTTTGTGTTGTGCATTTTGTGAACCATGTTCACAAATTTGTGTCTATGTGATTCTTTCATAATTATGTGAAAGAAAAACAGCAAGTTGAATGGTGGATAGAATACTGGCTTCAATGAAGCTTGATATCCCGATCAGTTGCATTTTAATTTGCTTCCAAATCATCCATTCTGATTCAGAAGATATTTAAAGGAGCTTAAAGCTAATCTTGAGTTCTGGTATGAGAATCCTATTTTGAGAGAAAAATTGCTATGATTTATTTTCGATTGTTTATCTAGCAGTAGATAGTTTGTTTGAACCAGTGAAATAAAAACAAATGCACAAAAACTTACTTGGCATCGTCTTCGATAAAAACCATTTTCGATAGTGACCTGTGTTTATATTAAAGCACATGGTGTCAGGTCTACTTACCCGGATTTCCTTATCTTTCTATGCTTATTCCTCAGCCACTATACATTTTCTACCAAAATTGTTTGGCACATGACATGTGATTTGATTGTAATCTTGAACATTGAGTGAAAGTTTTGTAGGATTCTGTGAGAATTTATTTTCTATATTTACCAGAACTCAAGTTTATCTTTAAATGAGTTTTTCTTTCAGAACAAAAGCTTTTTGTGAAAAAAAAATTAATGTTTCTGTAGAGTAGATAACATGTATTTTGAAACATGGCAGCATTAAAAAGTTGTAGATGAATGAGATTTCAAGCAGTGGATTTATCCTAGTTTCTAAATCAGCCGTTCCATTCTGCATCCAGTCAGCATTAAGGTCATTTAATGAACATCTTTACAGAATCATAATTGCTACTTATTTTTCCCATCTATGCACACTTATCAACAGTTATTTGATGATTATGGAATACTGACAAATTTTTGCTCTTTGTTTCTCCCTATGTAAGGCTCTTTTATATTATATTGATGTGTATGCATTCATATATTATATTTGTACATGCTTTGTTTCTTGGGAATAGCAGATCAAGGAAGCGTATTCAAATTAGAAAAAATTGCCTTTAAGTGAAAATTTAAGTTTGTATTGAATTAAAAAAACATGCAGTATGGGCAAATGTAATTAATCTTTTAAAGTCTATTTAGTAGCTATGAATGCAAAAAGGAATATTAAACTAAAACAAGCCAAACGTCTATAATTTAAATTTGATCGATTACACAACTCTAAAGGTAAATGTAAATTTTATGTAAATTGTTACAACTTATGTCTTTTGTTTAGTGAAGGCAAACTCAATTAGACAAAAGATGGTAACTTCATTGTGTTTCAAAGTAAAGTAGGAATGTTAAAAGTGTGCCTTTGAATACACATGTTAGTATTTTCTACAGAGTCTAGTGCTCATAGACTGACCTCAACTAAATTATCATAAGGTGCTTTGTGCTTGATTATAATTGATTGGTATGTCATATTGGTACGACATCATTTATAATTGGACATTTAAAGATGGGATTAGCAGTGGAACTCTGCTCTTGAAATGTGTGTAAATTTGTAATTAGTATTCTAGGTATGTTTTTTTTTGCCAGCAATGTTTCAGTTGTTTATACTTCCGTTGTAGATGCCATTTCATTTCAATCTGCTTGTATTACTTTTATTTGTGCATCACAGAAAGAAAGTAGTAATAAATATAATGAAGCATAATTATAACCTGTGTGCTGGAGTAGTGATACGAAATACGTGTAGGTATTTGTTTTGTATTTTGGTGGAGAGGGGGGGGGGGGGGGGGGGGTGGTTGGTTGTGTGTGAGGGTTATGGGGAGTGTGTGTGTGTGTGTGTGGGGGGGGGCATTTGTTTGGAGGGATGTTTGTTTATGTAGGGGGAGAGTGGGGTGGGTAGGGGCAAAGCGGGGAAAAAAATTAATTTGAATTTATATGGAGGGGGAAAGATAGAATTAAACGGGCAATAATGTATCAGGATTATGACTTTGGAGGATTAAGAATGATTAATTTTTAAATTAAAATACAGCGCATAATGTGGATAAAACCTCTTTTATATGGAGAGAAAAATTTGGGATGGAAATTGTTTTTTGATCATTTCTTACAGTTTGTGGGTGGTAGATTTATTTTTTTATGTGATTATGATTTTAAAAAAGATTAAACTTGTTATAGATATTCCACCATACTGTATGGAAATGTTGCAACCATGGCAAGAGACAAGTAATGTAAGATATTTGGAGGGTTATATTAATCCAATCGTTTTTAATAATCGGAATATTGCGAGATATTATGCTTGATGGATGAACTTGAATTATGTTATGTTATTTTACCGTTACTACTTAAATCTATTTATATG